GAGGCTGTAGCTGGGCTGGGTAGGGCAGGGCACATGCGTCCTGCCACCACCAGCTCCGTGCGCCCTCCCCCACGTGCTGGCGTGGGGACGGGGCCGCTTATGCGCCCTCCCCCAATCCGGGGCACAATTAAACAGTCTGCCTGGGGTGCTGGAATGTCTCGGTCTGGCCCTGTTTATAAACAACGTAGAAGTCTACCAACAGTTGATTACAAAGGATTACTCTAAACCCGTGTTTCTCAGCCTGTTTTGTAAAGTACCCTTTTTCCAAAAAAAGAAGTAACCCCAATACCTACAATTTTCAGACACACAATTTTTTTTCTATCATTGCAACACATTTGTAAAACAACTTAATCGTAGCCAGGTAGGAGATGACATTTTTTTCATGTAAAAAGTACAAAAATAATAATATGGTATAAAATTTAAAACATAAATTCAGTTTTCTCCAAATTTTAGTTGTGCTGAAGTACCTCCCAGAATGTGTCAAGTACCCCAAGAGTACCACTGGTTGAGAAACACAGCTCTAACCAGATAACACAAGTGCACTTATAAATGCCCTTAATGAAAGTGTAAAAGGCTCTGTAAAAGTCCTCCAAAAAAGCAAATTTCACTGTTGGTCTGAACTCCAGGAATTTGCTAGATCTGAATCAGCCTTAGGCTACGTCTACGCTGTGCATTGTTGTGCAAGAAGATATACAAATGAGGCATGGAGATGAATATCGCCACAGCTTATTTGCATACCTAACGAGCTGTCATTTTTGCAGAAGGGGCTTTTGTGCAAGGAGGAGTTATCTACACTACTCCTTGCGCAAAAAACCTTCTTGTGCAGGAGCCGTTGTATCACTTATTTTCAGGCAGAACGGCTACTGTGCAACAGGGTTTTTTTGCACAAGAAGGAGTAGTGTAGACAGCTCCTTCTTGTGCAAAACCGCCTTCCGCAAAATGGTGGCTCGTTAGGTATGTAAATGAGGCACAGCAATATTCATTGCTGCACTTTATTTGCATATCTTC